ACACGAAAGTCAAACAGGTAAAATTTTGATGTTTTCCCTCATAGAAACTACTTACCTAAAAATTTTTTATATTTTTTTTCAAGAAACCCACTTGGTGAAATAGCAAGGACCAATTATCATTTCCTTTAGAAACGACTGGAATTTCACGGATTTATCGGTTTTTCAGATTACAAGAAGGGTTTTGGTGGCCAGTTTGGCTTGCAAGATGATAGACTGGATAAGTCAGCTGTAGGATACGAGTATCAGGAGAAGCTTGCTCAACATGAAAGTCAAAAAGATTATTCGAAAGGTCGGTTTTTTGTTTGTTTTTCTTCGTCTGATCCTATTAAATTTTTATTTTTTTTAGGTTATCTATTCGGGAAGAAAAATATGAATTAAATTGGTGATGTGGAACCTAAGAGAAAAGTGATAAAATCACCTCTCTTGATGGTTATTTCAAAAGTTAGATGCCACTTCCTACTTGATCGTCAACATGAATCTAAATGCCACTTCCAGTGTTTTCTTTAATTGTCAAAATTCGATCGTATTCCTCTCCACGGTGGGCCCGATAACGCCAAACAAACTGCATTTTTTAAAACATAGACGCGATTTCAGCTCCCCTCCCCCCGTCCTTTTCCAGTCCACTAGCTAGGGATATTCACTGTTTGCTATCTTTAAAATTTCTACAACACCAAATTCTGTACTTTTCAGGATTTGGTGGTAAATATGGTGTTCAGAGTGATCGTCAAGATAAAAGTGCATTTGGTTATGATGCACCAGAAAAAGATAAAACAGCGAAAACACATGCAGCACCAGCAGTTACACCCAAAGGAACTGCCCTAAGCTTGCGAGCCAGGTTCGAACAGCTTGCTGCTTCCGAGGTATGTTTTCGACAGTTTCTACAGGATTAGGCTATTCTTGTTTGCTTTTTAGCACCAGTTATAATAATTTTCGGCCGAGAAAGGCCGACCCATAGTCGTAAAAGTGGATGGTCCAAAGCAGTGGAGCGGCCAAAATCCGAAAATTTAAGCCTAGGATGGGGCTCGTACACATGACAAATATCTTCATACACATGGCATTCAAGTGAAATCCTTCTATTCTTCTTTTAACAAGGTTGAAGCTATGATACGATGGAAAAGATAGTAGGGCGATTCGTGTGGCACAAAATCGTATGACATGTTGAAAAGTCATGTGAAGAGGAATATATAGGAAAAGGTCATGTTTTGGTTGTTTATAAGTGGTGGCAGGGCATCCTGCACCTAGATCCGCCAATGGTTCGAGAACAGAGAGACCTCAGAAAGCGGTTTAACAGTCTTATCAAGGAAGTAGTTACTTTTCGGCTTTTAAGCTATAAGTTAGAGTAATAGGGCTGTTTTCCAGAGTGATGATAAAGTACAGCAAGAACGTGAGCGTCGCAAACGAGAGGACGAAGAGCTACGTCGGCAACAGCAAAAAGAAGAGGAAGAAAGACAGAAAAAAATTGCCGAGGAATGGAAGAGACGTGAAGAACTTGCGCAACAGGTAGAAAACCAACGATATCTCCCCTTCCTCTAAAAAAGAGTACCTTAAGATGAAAAAAAAAGCAGGTATTGTTGGGATTTGGGTTTAAAAACTACGAAATTATGTGATGTTTAGATAGAAATATTTGTAGAATGCTTAGAATAGTTACTAATTAGTTCGTTGCTTTGGTGCAATAACAATTTTTTCGCGCATTGCTCGGCCAGTATTTACAACTAAGGAATGAAACACACAGACTAAATCGTAAAATGTCCCCCGACACATGACACTTAAGACTTTCTGTCCTTCTATTCTACTGTTTCAATCGCTTTGATCAGTAGTAAATCGTCTTATAGTTAGCCTGTTGTTTTGTCTCCTGAAGGGATTATCAGTACAGCGGTTTTCTGGGTGAAAGCAAAGGCCAACGAGATTTTAAACATTTCGAGATGAATTTCGTCCCAGACATCATCACTTTTTGCTTTTTAGATGAATCCTGAAGCAATTGAAGAAGAAATACGGCAACACGAGCAAATGCATCATACTGGAGGTTGTTATGCTTGTCCTGTTAATTCACGAAATTCGTTAATCCGCGTAGCCCACTCATCCAATTTACAAGATTTTCGACCAAATGAAGTGAAATAGAATGTAAATGAGTAAAATGATATGGAAGGAATGACCAAGAAATATGTAGGTGTAAGGTAACAGAAGGAAAAGACCAGAAGAGTGGGGTGGTAGTTATGTTGAAAATACTGAAGGCACTGATGGGATGGTGCTGAATCCGACAGTATGCAGAGGATTAATAGAGATTAAGGAGGCTACGAAAATGGGGAAAACAAGGAGCGAAGCAAGATGGTAAAACAGCATATGTTGTGAAAAAGATATGGAGCATATGTAGTGAGGACATGTGTGAAAGCTGAATGCAGGCTTTGCTGGCGATGAATTACAATATGTATTTATAGGTTGGAACCATATTTTTTAGTAAATTAAAAAAAAATTCATCTTTTTTTTCAGGCGTTCAAAAACGCCATACACGTACTCCGGTTGGTGCTGT